TTCTTCTTCTACTTCAGATTGATATGTCACATTGCTGCAGACTCACTCTCAGCCTGGAGAGTATCATAGTGTCATATTTCAGCTTCCTGCGAGCCGTGTTTTCCCTGCTTCTCTCCGAGTCTTTGGAGGCTTTGTGGGGCTCGGCCATGTATGGAGAAAGAAAACGGCACAGAGGAAGAGGGAGGGGAAGAGATTGTAACAGCTGACTCTGAACGCACACATCGCATTTTAATGTTTCCACCGCTGCTGCTGTGAACGCTGAAAAGATGAGACAAGAAGTGGTGATGAAGAGGAGGGATAGATGGGGCGGGGAAGGTTGCACGTATAAACCGCCGACTCGGAGTTCCTCCAGTGTAAACAAGCGCGTCTCTGGGAAACGGGGTCAGATGCCCCGCTGCAATATTTACATGCTTTGCTGATGGCGCGAGAGTCTGCGGCGGCGGCGGATGCAAAGCTTCCCCGCGTCCTGCAGACTTTGACCTAATTTTTCAATTTCCACGCATCATCCCTCCTCCATGCTTTGAAGCCTCTCGCCTCGGGGGACTGGTGGCAGAAAACGCTGTTGTCAGCGCTCAGGTGAAGGCAGAGCTTCACAGGGACCTCGTATCCTGCTGAAGGGCCCTTGAGCAAGGCAGTACACCCTCTTGTTTCCCCCCCTAACTGTCATCAGGTGGTGGGAAGCATCCTCAAAGTGCTTCAGGTGATGGAACAAACATCCCCCTTATACACTGCATAAAAATGCTCTCTGAGGAAGTATGAGGATAATGGATCATATACCTGGAGGATGAGTGCCTTGCTCATGGGCACAAAGTTCCTGTGAAGCTGTGTCGACACCTGGATGCTCACAGTGATGACGATGGCAGCACAAAGCAAACAAAATAACCTCAGCTTTTTCTCTCAGCCTGCCTCTCTGCTCAAACCCTACCAACATTTCCTACATTTCCCAGAATTCCCTGTTCTGAGCACCTTCAGGGCACAGGTGTGAACTTGAGAATGAATTTTAAAGCCTGCTGGGCGGACGCTAGTTTGAGCAGCGCGGTGAATCGTTGTGATTGAGATAAAAGAGGAGGCGACCTCTCACTCGGACGCTGACCTATCGCATCGCTGCAGTGCATGCTGGGATAGCTGGGGCTCTTAGTGGTCTGTTTTTGCAGGAGACCTTCTGGGTGTGGCACAAATGTGGCATTTTGTAATAATAATAATAACTTTATTTATCAGACTTGGAGAAAATAGAAGCTTGACTGACTTCTCCCCAGTCTGAGTTTAAGAGCACCGCTTTCATTTTGCTGCCGGATCTGATTTTGGAGAAGAAGGGCTGGGAAACGAATGTCGCAAACACCCTCACCCTGCAGGTCTGCAGCCTGGACACGGTCCTCACAGAGGCAGACACTCCCGCTGAAACACACAACCCCGCGCTCGTCGTGCAGCTGCAGACTGACGGGCTGTCCTCAGCTAATCTGGCTGCTGGCTGAATATTAAGCTCTGCAGTCCAGCCCAGATAACAAGCTGTCCATCCCAACACACTGCAGATTACACACACACACACACACCAGGCTGACCTCAGCTGCTCTGCAGTGCTCGTGCATTGTTGTCTCTGCTGTAGTTTTGATGCAGATTTAGGTTTGTTTCCGTTTTCTTTCATTATGCGCTGCATCAGCTGCCAGCAGGGCACATGCCAGTCAGCTCTGTGGGCATCTCGTCGCCTGTAAACATTAAACGCATCATTTCTCAGTCCAGTTTTTGGAGTCTACCTTTGCTCAGGCTTGCTCCGGGTACTCCTGCTTTGTCCCAAAGTCCAAAGACGTGCACATTAGATTAATTGCTGATAGGAAATTGTCTCTAGGTGTGAAAAAAAACCTAAACTAAACAAAGACAGACAGACTTTTTCCACTTTTGACACATTGTTTCAAACTTACAATTCTTTGCATTAGAAAGATTCTAAAATTAAAGGCATACCAGTCTTCTTAGGCCGCGATGTCAGACTTTTCCAACAGCTACAAAATTAACGTTCCACATCCACAATGTTTTTTTATTTCTTTATTTTTTGAAGCTTCCTGATTATCTGATTATCTAATAATTTTCACAGGTCTTTGTCTCTCCTCTGCGCTGTCAGTCGTGTTGAGCTGATACACGATGATGACAGTCTAATTAATTAATCAGCAGATAATTGAAGCTCTTTCTTTGGCTGCAAACGTCCAGCTGCTCGC